AAAAGCTGCTGCATACATGGACAGAGAGGGGCAGGTGGCGTTGCAGGTGAACGAAAAGTGCATGGACTATTCCTGAGGTTTCGATCATGAGAGGATTCCCTCGAAAATAAGGAAAGAATTGGACGACCATCTCTTGTAGACGAGAGCCTTTTGAAAAAGTTGCGTTGAGTAATCGATAGCAAACTATAGTAGACGTGAAGACGGATCATGTAAAATAAAAAAATTAGCTACGAGCAGGAATATACTTGTTCATAGCTGAAAATCTAAATTTTTTCCGTCAACGTGTGGGCAAGACATAGTCATACGGTCACGAGTGGGCTAAAACCTGACGAAGAAGTCTTCTTGAACACAACTATGTATAACTGTTTAAAAAATGAGATGGAATTCCTCTCTAGGCTTACCTTAGCCATTCTCTGCTCTTCAGTGTCAGTAAAGGGTGGATCATAGTGACGCTGCACGCCATGCCAAAGGCAGAATAGGTCGTAGAGCAACTTCTGGAAGTGCTCGTTGGGTAGCATTGGGCGTGGGGCAAGCGGAGCAGCGTGTTCGTCCTGTGCAGTGCTACGCTTCAAAACAAAAACAACCGTATCACACGGTCATGTTTAATGAGAGATCTAGGTAAAGACCTAGCTAGAATCTCTCCAATCGGAGCGGTGATTCTGAAGATCCCTCCCCAAAGGTGATCCCGACCACTCCAGCACAAAAACGATTGCTTCAGAGCACGTACGGTACCTGCAATGCTTTATCTGACGCCTTTATTTCGACCTCACAAGCCGACATAATTATGAAGCAATCTCAAATGGCAATTAGAAGAAAGGAAGATAGATAGAGAGATGTAGAGGTAAAGAACGACAAAGAGAGATGCTAGTTTCCACAATGAAGAAACAAATAGAGGGAGAAGAATGGAGATACGGAGAGAGAGAAACATGGCTAGAATTCTCTATTCCTACTGTAGGGAAGAAGTGTCATCGGTTTTGATGAATTAAGAATATAAGAGGTTAAACTGGAACTAAGGCATGGTAACAACGAGAAGGGCACCGATGCGACTGCCAGTCGAGAATTCTATCAGATTATCAGTACTCTGTTGGTATTCTATCTCAGCATTCCCTCAGTCCCTGCAAACATGACATCTGTGAAGACACCCACACGATGTTCAATACGTGACGTCGAAATGAAGTCGAATTTTGAATTATTCTGCACTGAACGACCAAAAACCATATAGAAACTTACGGTTAAATAGATAACATATCACAGGTAAGAATAAAAGAGTCCATACATGTCAGTTTTCCACACTAGGTAGTCGTAAGTCATCACAATATACTCTTATAACAGAGAAGAATGCTCAAGAAGAAAGCTATTAGAATTGATTGAATACCGCTGGAAATTTCAAGCATCAAAGGTATCGCGAAAATATTTACGATTGGACGATGACAACGGTGATTAAGCGATTATGACCTAATGATAAGAACCATTACACATGATGAGGAAGTGTGTAACGCCAACCGATCGCCAACCGATCATGCTGGGTAAATTACCTGTACTTGAAGAATGCCTATGGGCACTCGCACCACACACAATTGTTTCCTTGATTGCCCTGACATCGAATGTCTTGTCACGTTCCCAAGTAGTCAAGATTAATGAATCCGAATACCAAAAAGAAAGCAAACTGAGGTGGCCACAATGGTAAAACAGGCTTTCCATCATATTTTTCGGTGAATACTACGATATCAGCTCTTTGTTAGCTTTATACCCCAGCTGGAATTCAATATAACTTCTCAATAAGCTGTAAATAAAACGGAATGTGTCGTCGATCACGGCAAGCAGATTTCTTCGGTGGAAGTATTTTGTAACAACTGGTTCACAATCACATTGACCAGCGTCATTTACAGGTTCTAGAATGCGGTTTATCAGAAGTTGTTGTAAATCTCTTAATACGTAAAGTGATATTAATCACTACTGAAAACCGGTGAACTGGATACATTTCACAGAAATCTCAACGGATGTTGTTTGGTAGAGCAATTTCACATAATTCTGTGAACATCTTGGAATAGTGCTCACTTGGGGTCACAGAAGCCCTTGTAGATGAATCGGAAGCGAGGAAAGGATGAGCAAGCCGTAGTGAAGCATGAAGTCAAGCTGCTGAGAAAGTTGAACTGAAGAAACCGACACTGATCAAGGATATCGAGAACACTCAAGAGAGTTGCACATAAACACTTGCGATCGTGTCAAAGGTCACTATCAATACTCGCAACAATACGATCAGGTCAACAAGAACGCTATCTCAACGAAAGAATTGCGCCGAAGGCAAGCTGTTGCTGCGTTCGTCCGAATAATATTGGATGAAAACATTACTACCGCGGACTCAGCACCTACCAGTTGCTTACAGGTTTTAAATGAAATAAAACGTTCTTGTGTTTGTCCTAAAGTGTTCTTTACTCTCATATACTAAAGTGCTTCACACCGGTGCTTTATGCATCGACCATGAGATAATGTCGTCTCATTACTGTCCTCATTACCGAAATTTTGCAATTAGCTTCTTACGAATACTAGTTACAAGCTGTTTTGAGCAACAGCAATATAAAAGAAACGATGTTTTGTCCTGAATCAACCTCCAATACACCTGGTTCCTTAGCTGCAAACACAGACTTAGCTCTCTGGAATCATTCTCACCGGGTGATATGAAGAAGTCAGGTGATTTCTGTGATAGTTTATCGTTTTTGAGAAACACTGTTGACGGCCGAAGTGACACGGCACAATTCGCAAAATGAACGTTTTCGCTATTTTTTGGATACAAATACTATAGGAAGCCATGTGCTGCGGAACATCATCTGTCTGGCAACAGGTTGCCTTGGGATCATTCCACCAGCGACAAGACGTCAACGTGCCTCCTTATCTGGAACACTGCCAAGACACTACTGTATCCGCTAACCGATAACGAAAGAAGCAAGCGGGACCGACACCTACGTCACCGTTTCGGTCGTGGTTTCGCTTCCGAACACGGAGCAATGCATCGCTCACTTGGTGATTCGGATGTTGAGCATCTATGGGAACAAGAAGAAAGGACGGCTTCTGTCAAAGTAGATCTCGACTCTTCAGGCTGGTCTGCCATCTGACTGGTTTCAATGAGCACCCAAGAGAAAAAAGGTAAGGTCTAATCGAAATGGCGAATCAGTCCGATCGTGTTGGAGGAACTGCATGTTGTTGCCGACATATGTATTACGACATGATATCAGCAATGATATCCCTGGGAAAGGAGAAGCGATGAAAAGGTTATTCGGCCATCGATCAATTCGCCATCGATTTAAGGAAGGAAAGATAGAAGATGATTCAATGCAGTCAATACGAACAACATGAAAACACTATAACAGATGAGAAAAATTATACTTGCTTTGAAAGCGAAACAAAGCATCACAACTTTTATAGAAGTTTGTCGATCAGCCTTTCTTATCACTTCTATTACAAAAGCACATTTATTGTAAGCTCTCATCACTGATAAAATGGAACATAACCAATAACCATAGGCAGAGTGACTACAACATTCGATGATAGTGATTTCATAGAATCAATGACTGAAAAGAAGGAAGGAAAAATTGTATCCATGAGAAAAATGCATAAAAATACTTGTTAGGGTGACTAATGATCTAGTTATAAAAAATAAATAAAGCTTTCGGCGTTGATCATTCCCTGAGGGATGCGCCATGCATTCGACTCATTAAGCACCGTTTGGAGGTGACTGAATGCATATCTGGCCTTTACAATAACTAGCGGTGGCCTACCGATGTATCGAGCCAGTGCTACTATCCTCCCAGACAAGACACCAATTTGCCGATCCCGGAGGAATGGAAGGCTTGGTGAGCCATGGGCGACGGGATCGATTCCACGTGTGTGTCGCAGTGGCGCTTCCAATCACTGCGCCATACGCGCCTTTTTTGTAGGTTATCGTATGATTTAGTTTCGAGCAAAATCACTAGTGAACAAAAAAATAAGGACCACATCATTCATTTAAACCCCATTTCGATGGAAATAAGATTGTCCACATCGGATGGGCCAAACAAAAGCAGATGGACATTGGCTAGCAGCGACGCACGACTGGATCACATCTGAGGTTCTTATGACGCCATTGGCTCGAACCTCGCCACAAGCTACCGTCGTTGCGTTATGACCGATTAGCGAGACTGAATGACTGAAGTCGAACAGGGAATGTCCGAGTCGCTCAAAGGATAGCCGAATGCAGAAGAACGATCCGTCCATACGTGGGTCGCGCTCACTGGTTTTTCCTTCGTTCCACCGAGCACCGCCGACGTATCTTGTATTTCATCCTATACAAACATAATATCTTCGCATAATATGACGATCGTTAACATCGTAACCTAACGAACGAAAATCAATCACGAAAGTTTAAATCCATTTCGCCTGTTTCTATACCTTTGTGGTCACAAATTCACTCCTCAACACTTGGTCTTTGGAATACAAAAGATGGTAGGAGCAAATTTGAAATAGAAGAATTTGATTTAAAAGAGTCGGACTACAAAATGGGATTCTTCTTCGTTTTCGTCGAAAATTGTTTTGGCTAGCAATCAAACTACGAGGAAAAACTATGACAATTTTTCGGTAGAATTTTGAAGAAATGAATTCGCTTCTTAGGACACCGTGTCCAGAAGCATCCGGAAACGAAAATGCTGCAGAGAAAGGGCAGAAATCGGAATTTTCATAGCAACATTAGAAAGGAAGACAAGTGTAATAATCGATGTATGGGTTGGGTGGTTGAGAGGAGAGCATTCGACCTGCTGATAGTGCGCCGACGGCCGTCATTCCCTTAGGAGAACAGCGGCGGTGGTTCTGTGATGGTTCATGATGCTGAGCGAGAGACTATCGTTATCTCTATCAAAAATCTGGGTACTAATCTAGTTTTCTGAGCTGCCAATACTTCTCTTCATCGTTGATCACGTAATTTGGCTCGATTCACACTACAACTATCTACGACAGGTATTTCTTCTGTGATGGAAGTACTACTCAAATTGACACCGGTTCACCAACTTACCAGACGGGACACTAAGTGAGTGGGTGAGTTTTATGATCGATTTTCTATTTAGAACACAGGTAGTTTTTAAAGCCTTTTGCATCGGCCGTTATAGACGAATTTCATTTATTTCTTGAAGTGCATTCCAACACTGATTTGGTTGTTATGAAGAAAATCAGTTGTGAATGCGAAGTCCCAATCGTAACGGTACTTGCGCAGTTAGGCCCTAATACCTCGGAGGTATGTGCTATTTCTAGCACAATAATCTCCCCACCATTAGTCTCTACCCACTATGGGATTACTTTTCTAGTTCGTCGCACCAGCGGTGTTGCTGCTGGGTTTGGCAGTTTCGTTTGCATGATAAATCCCAAATTGAAGGTGGAGGTCAATTGAGATAGCTACCCTTCAGAGAAGCTTTTGTACGATGGTATAGTTTTCATGGAGGAGCATTCTTCTATGAGTAAAAATTTTCTGTTCTTTGATTTATGTAATTTTCTTCCAAAGATTCTTTTCAGGTTTCTCGGAGCATTGTGGAAATGCACGATTTCCCTGTTCCCAGTTTTTTCTGCTGACGTTACTTGAGTTTTAGTGCGATCCGGTCGGAAGCGTATTCGACGGACTCCTAGCGATCAGCGATTGGCTACGGTCAGCGGTGCCCGCGCGCTAATCGTCGGCCTCCCGGTCCTCGCCGTCGAGCTCCCAGTCTTCGTCATAGGCCTCCTAGACGGCCTCAGTGGTGTTTCGCGCTAACGCATTGGCCTTCGAAGCCGAAAGGTAGCTGTCTGGTTGTGCAGTATTCTACATTGGCCAAAGCATCTGCTTATCAACATTGTTTATTTAATAGCTTGCAAATATGTTTTTGCCTGAAACACGCCTTCTTTCAGTCCGGAGATCAAACCGATTTTCTGACTTCTTGTAGTATCTCTTAGTCCCAGAAAAATCACGTCCTCTTTTCAGTTTTAAATAAATTTAATTTCTGTCTCTTCTTTTATTTTTCTCACCTACTGCTTAAACCAGCTGCGAGAATAGGGAGGAAAGGGACTCAAGAAATCAAAAGTAATACGAAAAATAAACAGAAAAAGTCTATCAGAAGCACCACTTCTTCAAGTTTTTCCATGGTTCACTCTGATCCCTAGGTGGAAATCCCTTTTTCATGTGATATTTGTGTAAACTGGAAGAGATGATCTAAGCAAACAAAACCTGACCTCCCATAGAAGGGAACATTCCGCCTCACCATACTCTTCCTTTCAACTGATTGTTGCTGCATCTTACACTTTATTTTCTCCATTCTTGACACTAGATAAAGTAATATTTTTAGTTTTCCCACATTAGACCTCATATACCAATCACTCTCTACTGATGACATTAGACAATTCCAACGTGATTTAGATGACGAAAAGAATGTTGGTCAGCAACAGTTCCGAGTGGGATCCCTTAAAGAAGGTTTGTTGGATTACTGTCCTAGTGAGGTTCTTCCTTTTGTAGAAGATGTTGAATTCATTTCCCAATTCACCGGTATAATGTCTGTACAGAAACTGGATTCCTTCCTACCTTCCGCTTCTCGAATTTTCGTAGTATTGATAGCAAAAACACTAGTGTACACATTTCAGTCAGATTAAGCGGACAATACCAGTCCAGTGAGGAATGTGACAATGCATTTCACCCTCTTTTCTAGTGTTTTCTTTAGAATAGGAGACACAACACTGTCGTGTGTAGCCCAATTTTGTTTGTCTCGGTTGTGGCTGCTTCGTTAGCGATCGCCATAAGCAGTACTTATCTGCTTGCCTCCGCCCCTATCGATGCCCTTGAATACCAGTGAGTTGCCGTGAATTACCAACGACTCAAATTTGTGAAGTTCGTGCTTTGTCATTTCCTTCTAAGAAAAGAATATTTTGTTAGCATAGCTAATTAGTACTCTAATCACTGCAATTTTCAAGAACACACACTCGAGCTATCACTACTTCATTTATATCTTCTTACGGACTGATCTTGTTGAGCTGATGCGAGGCTGGTATAAGTTAGTATAAGTATAAGTACAAGTTGTCGTTTTTGTGGTCGTTGTTGTTGTTGTTGCTGTTGCTGTTGCTGTTGTTGTTGATGTTGGTAGATGGCTGACGTTTCGGCGATATTATACCTTAGAGCCGGGCTATTACAAGTGGGACACAGATATATAAATGAATATACTAACTATTTATGACGAGGTTTATAGAAAGTTGGTCTAGTTCTACTTTAATGAGCTTCGTAATCGCAAATTTATGTTGAAAACATGAATATTTTTTAACACAGCCAATGGCTAGGGTTGCCCCTGCCATAAACATAGAATTCGTCAATGGTTCCATCCACGCCTCGGACACATCAAGTCGTTCCACCAAATTAGATAAATTGGTGCCATACCCGGTTGTGAGGTAAAAACACTGACTTGATACATTGATAGGCTACTGCGGCTCATTGTACAGGAAAGATGTGCATTCAGTCACCTGCTCGATTTTCGATGAAGTCAAATGAATGGCTATTCCTTTAAGCTCTAACTACCTCCAGCTGTTTATCATTTTACCCTTTAATCTCAAGTAGCAAATATCAGGACGGATGTCAGATTTCAACGAGATTGGTATTCCAGCGTTACTCAAATTGTTGTGTCAATTTCAGCACTCTAGCTGTTCATCGCCAAATCATACAGCAGTTAGGATTTCCCTCGCTTCTGTTATAAGCTGAACGTTTATCGTGAGCTTATTCTGCTTATGAAAAACGAATACCGCCATCGCGTCTCTGACTGACATGACGTTCTGCGACGCGGCTTCTGACGAAGTTGTTTCCGATTGCCAACTTTCTTCAAAGGTTTGGACTTTAGCTAAATAGCTTGAACTGATTGACTGAAAAGTATCCTCTCATTAATCTTTTGAATGGATCCATCTCACACGAAATGCTTTCTCCTTCAAGATTTCTACTGCTTTCATCCGTACTTTGGTCGTGCCTAATTAGTACTAGTCAATGGGTGGAGGGTGAACTACAGCCAATGTGCCGTGAAACATATTGTTTCAATGGAGGAACCACACTAGTTGTACGAATACTGTAATCTGTAAAGAAAGTAGACATGTTGGTCGTACTGATTCTTCCAACTGATTTACTTGAATGTAAAGTACTATACATGGTATTCAAGGTCACCTGCCTTGTCGTAGTGACTACTCCCCCTTTCTTTTAAATCCTTTCTCTCAGCTTTTGCAAGTAATTTATTGGACTTCCTACATTTAAGCAGTGCCATCTTGGTCCTCAGCTGGTTAAATTAACACGTATTTTCCGATACGAATCTTTTTATCAACACAGTCGAAAAGTTTTGCCTTCCAAACGTTAAGCAGATATTACAGGTCATAGTGAAGTTCGCTGATTTAAGTAAAAGCGTTAAGATTTGCAGGTACTTGTTAAGAAGAGATATGCTTTTCTAAAATCCGATGATGCAGTTCGTATTTTTTGTAGCCCACAACACCTAATCCTCTCGCTTTCCCGTCCAGGCTCGTGTTCCCAGCAACGAAGCGGTTGAACAAATGAGGTTTCGTCCAGAGGGACACGATGCTACCCAAAATGTGTCGTTGATGACTACGGTTGCTGCAGTTGGACTAAGAATTCTGAAACTTTAGGCTTCGTCTTCATCTGGCGAAAGATTCCATTTTTAAACAAATTTTAAATTGAAATTGCATTTTGCACTTAAATCGACGGAGTAGTCTCGGAAATCTCTCATAGAACTCTATCACGCTTTCAAGTCATCAAGTGCTCGAATTACTGAAAACTAAACGGTAGTTGTCGGAAATGCAGCATAATCCATTATATCAGAATTCTCAGTGCCAAGACTAATTAACTGCTGATTCTGGAATTATGACTAGTTCTTGCCCTCCAAAAGAACCGACTTCTACCCAGTTTCGTCGAACAACAGCGTTCTTATCTTCCGGTTTTCCAGCGAGCCCCATCAATTGGAGAAATTTTTGATCAGAGTCTAATACTACTATAAATCCAGGTTTCTTCTACACAGCAAGCAGACTCATGAATTAGCGGTCACATAGATTCTCTATAACGTGCAATGCAGAGAACCTCAGGGATCACCTAGGACGGCAGTAATTATATACCCTGCAACAGAAGACCATTTCTTTTTGGAGAGAACTGGAATGTGACTTGGCATTCTTGTCAATGTCTGATTTTAGCAATGCTACTTTTGCTGGAAGTTTAGCAAGATGTTTGTTCGTTTACTTTTCTAGGATCGTTACGACTGAAGCCAAAATCGTTTCTCCATCCCAGTTTGATGCTATTTCATAGTTTCCTATTCTGTGGTGCTACATAAGTTGCTGATAATGCCTATACTTGGAAGATCAAGCGACGCAGAACATTCGCTTCGTTGGCGTAGTAATATTAGTTTTATACCGTGTGTATTAGAATTGATCTTATAGAGTACGACGTTGTTTAATTCAGAGCAGTAAATTGAATTGCGATCTGTCATCATGACTGGGCTGCATTGTTACCAGTACCGACAGTATTTCATTAATAACAGATTGTTTGGTGGTTGGTTTGTGGGGATAATAAATCGTTTTCAGACCTTCTACGTAGTGTGTTGCCTAGGTACAGGTTGCCGAGACCGACGCTGTTTGAGGACAAGTCAGTCGCTAATGAACAATTGACAAATGGTGAACGTCTACTTGAGGATCAGATATATGGTCCAGAGTCGATTGCCGTCAACAAAAATACGGGATTGGTCTATACTGGCTTAAGAACAGGACTCATCTGCGAGATCGATCTCAGTGGAGAGGTGAGGGCCATTATGACTATAACTAAATCTTTGGAATCGCTCTGCTTTTTGCTGTGAAGCAATAAATAAAAGAATTATTGTTATCTGTCATCTACTTAATTATGAAATGATTCGAGCAAGCATCAATAGTTTCCTGATCTTCCTTGCCGCTCTATTAATCTGTGTAGTGGTCTGTTTTGTTGGAACAATAGAAAGAGCGCCATAGTCTTCGTATGTATCAAAGTGCCATGGTGGCAAATCTCCCTCTGATCCACAAGGGTGCGACTGCCTGTCGTGGTGACGGCCTGGGGCAGACTTTGGCGAGGCCGTCCTCGGGATTCCAGGGAACCACACAATGGCTTAATCAGCAAATTTCCGAGAAATGGTGATTATGTTAGGGCCTGCACAACTAGTGAGGACGGGCCGTTCAAGTATCAAGTATCAAGTCTTCGTATGAAGACCTCCACTTTTGCTGTTTTTGGTTAGAGATAAAGGATCTGCCAAAGTGACCGAACATGCTCACGGATCCACTAAGTGCATAGGAGAAGCCTACTCGCTGAAAGAAAATCAATGAATTGTCTCGTGTTTTTCCTAGTCATTTGGTTACAGACTTTACCCACGTGAACGTGCACGAAGTTCAAAGCCTATCCACAATTTGGTAACCTTCCGTGAAGCCTACAGCTAAGAGGTTCATGGTTATTCACGTTAGAGGATCTGTTTAAAGGAAGGAGCACAGAAAATGAGGAATAAATTAGTTAAACATCATTAGTTATAGGAGACTTCCCACTGTTACAGTGATTTTCAGCCAAAAATCATTAGAGCTGTGCGACTGACGTCGCATGAGAACTGTGATGGATCGTACCACTCAATGCCCAGATGCGGTCGTCCACTTGGAATGAGGTAGGCGACACTATTAACAATGCGAGCAAGTTTTATTTCTATATCCTTATTAGGGTGAGATCTGACTGAATCATCCAAATTGTGGTAGGTTTCAGTATACAGTCACCTACAGCAGTCCCTAATGTCTTTTATTGAGGTAATTGTAGATTCCATCCCCAAACTGACGAGCTTCTTGTGTTGGATGCTTATCTCGGACTTTTCTCTATCAAATGGGACACAGGTGCACTTCGCTCGTTCTTATACTATCCATACCATATAAATCACATAGACTCAAACAGCATATACCAATATTTTTACATATGTTGTCACTCATATTGGAAACCTATATTGGAACCATAAAGCAGTCACAATGTTAGCGATATAATAACCACATGCATTTCCGACAACCACCGAGGCACTTGAGTGGGAGCCGTCAGTGAACCTACTCGTTCTACCCGATGACGTGTCCTGGTCTTCCGTGTGGCTTATGCTGACTTGAGGAACACTAAGAAAGTCGAGATTTTTGTCTAAAGCTTCTCTTTACATTTGCTATTTTGATGAGACAATACCCAACCTCGTTCGACTGTGTTATCATGTATGGGTACGCTTACGTTTTCTCTGAGATTAGGCATTTGTGACAGACAACTTTCAATAGCCTCCCATGGTTCACTCTCTCCCGCTTTTTTCATATTTTTTTTCTTTCTCCTAATTACTAACTTCTAGTTAACTCGATTTGCATAAATCAATCTACATAAAAACGCAAGAGAGCCACCTTGATGTGCACTAGTGTGACCATGTGTATACGAAAGATGTAAAAGTGATCTCGTACGATAGATAGGTGGCATATCCAATGATTCCAGCAATGAATTTAAAGGAAATATGCGATTTCTGTTAGTTTTCTCTCAACCTCAACTTAATTCTCTCTGCGGGGATGTGCCATGTAGGCTCGCACTTAACTGATTTACGATGCATCAAATGAGATTGATTCATAGAAATAACACCACCATCAACAAGGGCGATAATAGTAATATTAGTGATATGCTAGTTTATCGAGGAGCAGATAGCGCAGTGCTAATGATCCCGTTCATTACACCGACTGCGCATCTCACCCAGATGTTCGTTCAACGCTCCACCGAACCTTAGTAAGCCTCTCATCCTTCCGAGATTGGAAAGAAATATTTATCCGGCTAACGCTTCGACTTCTTCGTCTTCTTCAGACCTGGAATGATTCAAATCATTGATCCCAATCTTTTCATAAACCTCGTGTCTGCTTAATAATTGACAAGGTATTGATTATTCTTGCCAAGGTTAAAGAAAATCGGTTTTTATGCTATTGATTGCCACACTACCCGTACCAACTGAAGCACCGAGTGCCATAGGATGCATTGCCCGCCCAAAGAAGATCATATTGGAAGTGGGAGTCTATCAACACATGACATGTATAAAAGGGCATCGCTGAGTGAAGTTCTCCATTCGAGCTATGTTCGCTTCACTGGAGGCAATACGATGCGAAAACGAACAACTGTGAACCATCGGTTTAGATCATCGGCTCTGATGAAGACGAAGACGTCGAAACATTAGCTGAAGAAATCTTATCAAACTCGTGGTTGTTCACTAGTCGAAGAAAGATATCGACGGTGATCACAAAGATTCCTTCGATCACTCTTCTTGGACAAACGCTGTGCCGTACCCAGCGTCCTCTATTGGTTTGAAATTTTCTTCTTCTGAAGCTAAGATGTCATATAGGTTGCAAGAGTTACATGTAATTTGTGACCTCCAGATCGAAAAAAATCGGCGGTGATGTTATCGGGTCCAAGAACTGTGCCTGTCCTCGTGCTTTCTATCGCAAGTTAACTCGTAAGAATAGAATCCCTGGTTTTTCTCCAACTGGGATTTCTTTGGTCGAGACTGGGATTGTGGGACGAAAAGGACTGGCATAGAATTTTTCCGTCATCAATTCCATACCATGGCGAGATGTGATGGTCGTATCTTCGTTCATCAGGGTAGAGAGTGAAACATTATTGTCGCATAGATGCTGACGACACACCATCTTATGACTAACTTTGTACTAGAGCGGCCAGGATTCCCATGTTTACTCTTAGCTGAATTTCCAAATGGAAACATCGGACTCCTTCTCAGCTAGGGTAATCTTACGGGTAACAAACCTTTAAGTGCACATCGTCGTCCGTCACAAGAACACCTCTCAGCCACGATGAAGCGGTAAACGTTTGTGAGGATTGGGTGATGTAAAGAAAACAGTGATAGAAAAATAGCTTCTCATCTCTTCATTGATGAGGAGTAGTCCTTGGTTGTCGAACTGTGATGTACAGTAGCATCGTAAAGCTGGAAAGAAGTTCAACACTTCCATCCAAAATGTCCGCTAAGAGTACACCCTTACAACAGAGGAGGCGGCAAGCTACTTGTAGCTAAGTCTTCGCTGCAAATGTAGAAATTTAGAAGTTTTTTCCCAAAACAGGAATAGCCCTTATGCCCGTTTTGCGTTTAGCACAAAGGCAGTGCGTAATATTTTGATTCGAAATTTAGAAGAAGTACGTCAATTGTTTGCCGGTGCTACACCCGCTAGCGACGACGATAGCACACCTCCTACACGGTCAGTTATGAATTCTCATTACTGACTAACCTTCTTATGTTTTCATGGTAAATAATTATAATTTTACATGATGTTATATTTTGTACTTTGACAGCAAAAAGATTAGTGTCTGCAGGTATCTGAACGACTTTGACTTTCTGCCTGATGGCCGACTGATAATCTCTGAATCCAGCACCAAATTTGACGATAGAGATTTTATCTACGACCTTCTCGAGCACCGACCAAATGGAAGGTGAGGATTGCTTTCTTTACATAGGCCCACTGAGCAACACACAGCTCATCGTGATTGTCATTTGCAAGCAATGTACTTCTAGTCAGATTTTAGATTCATCAAAGAAACCATTTAGAGACTTTTGTTACTACATGACCTTTCCGTTCTGCTTTATAATGGAAAGTACCTGATTTCAGGATACTGGAGTACAATTTGGTTCAGGATAAGCTGTCTGTGCTAGTCACTAATCTGTACTTTCCCAATGGAGTTCAGGCTGTTCAAGGAAAGGTGTTAATTGCTGAAATGGGAAACGCTAGAATTCTCAAGCAAGTTAATCTCACTACGTACATGCATTTTATTCAGCATGTGCTTAATAGTGCTTGAAATTCATTAAACATATGTTTTTATCCGGAAGTATACTACATATGAAGAAGCTAATGAACAGTAAAAGCAGGGTTTTTATATTCAATCCAGCACCATTGACGACAATGTGACCTATATTCCGTTAAACAAACATTTCGTTTGTGGTGGACTATATTAGTTGGAGTAAAAGCATTGAATGCTACAAACGCTTTCCAAGAATTACAATACCAGCTTTCTTGTCCTGACATCTTGAAACACCATCCTTCGGGAACCAATGAATCGTTCCCTCATTCGCTTTTTATCGTTGAAATTCGTGTTCTCCAGCAAAATATCGAGTAGAGCTGCACTTCGCCTATCTATGCACGATTGCTCATTCCTGCGATATTTCCTGCCAATCGGGTCTTTTCATCATTATCGCAACACCAGATCTCAAACTCGGGTGATAAATCCCTTCACATAACAATGATGAAACAGTAGTAGGAAAATGGAGATAATGACACCTTAAGTTTAGAAAAGTATGAAGAATAACGTAACCAGTAAATAAAGGTAGTATGGAGAGCAACGAGGAGCACTACCAATGGCAAAATATGTCATACAATGGTGTTTAAAGTGATATAACAGAGAGATAATGACACTAGCCGTTGTCGGTCACAGAGTGTGGTTGGGTGGACGTGGAGTAGGACATTGCTATGCATCCATAGACCAGTGGGAGATCTGCGGATGGATGGAACCTATGGGACTCTAGACATAGTTGAGGATCATTAGGTGGACACAGAGATTGCAGCAATCAAGAAGAAAGTATTGTGCAGAGTACAGCTTGTGACATCGTTTGCTTTATATTAGGAAGGGTTAGAACAGTGGTAGTAACATATTCAGTGAAAACATAACAAAGAACAACACAGTACTACATGAAGCCTCAATGAGGTCGAATAGGTGGACCACTGACTGGCAAACTGTTGCTCACGGACTTACTTTACGTAAGAGATCTCACTGGCCACTGGCTTGAGTGTAGAGAGCAAGAATTGATTGATTTTGTGAACAACAACGATGTTTTCGAAGTATCCTTTAATATACGCGATTGTCTTCAGCGTCTGGTTTTCAAAAACATTCTGCTAATATTGCAACAAATCTGAATATAGATGAAAAATCTCGTAACAAATAGTTCAGTGGCGCGAGTAGCGCAGTGGTTAGAGGTACCTTGCGATATGCATGTTTTCGATACCGCACTCAGGGCCATCCAGCTCTACAAGCCTCCTGGATCGGAAAATTGCTAATTGATCGACCTGTCTGGGAGGATTGCAGCACTGGCTCGACATATCGGTAGGCCACGGCAACTCATTTTGTAAAGGCCAGATATATGTGTTCAATCATCTCTAGCGACGATTGATGAAGTCGAATACATGGCCCATCCCTGAGTAATTGACCAACGCCCAAAGCTTTATCCTTTTTTTAAACGAATTGTTGAATTATGACTATTTTTGCACATTGCTATTATTACTATTATTTGACGCTAATACATTAATCAACTCGACAAACATTCAACAGCATTCATGACGAAGGCGCGTTCAACAGCATTCATGACGAAGGCGCGAAGGAGCCATCCCGTCTAACGGACCCACACGCTGATTTTTGAAGACTTTCTTCGTAGATGATGAATACGAGGAAACGAATCGAATGCAGGAAATGCGTATGTCGGCATAGTATGATGTCGGTTTATGTGGAAAAATGTATTACAGAGCACAAGTGCCCACTACGATGAACTGACCAACGATGCTATAAAGGAATCGGCCTACTCACTTCTATTTAAATAAAGCGAAGTTTTTGGAGATTGCTTAAGAAGAAACACAGAACACCACTTGAAAATTAAGTAGTAGGCCATCTGCTAATGAGTACTCATACGGACATACTCAAACGCATCAACCGATCTAATGCGCACTAATACAATTTGAAACCAAGGATGTATGTTGCTCTTAAGAAAGAATCAATTCCCATTGTAGCCGTTGAGTCAACCACACACAACGTAGCTTTGCTAGTTGGAAAAGAGACATGTGCAGACAGTAGAAGGCGACATCAGAGTGTTATTGTTTGGAGTCCATTCGCAATATGGAAGTACCAGTTGTCTTCCTAATCACGGTGATTTCACACCTCTTTACGCGTGTCTTCAGTGACTGTTGAATCAAGCCCTTGTTCTTTCCCTCCGATACATGACTTCATAGAAAAAAGTTTGCTGCTTGCAAAGAACTTCACAATTTCAAATAGAATACATTAGAATAAATGGTCATATTCACAGCAAACATATCCTGCTTTTGAAAAAGCTTAGGTTAAACGCTCGAGGCAAATAAATGTGGAGTTTTCCAGATATTCTCCTTCATCAGGCAATGTTGATGTGCTCGTCGATAATCTTCCTGGCTATCCGGATAATATTCGCGTATCAGGCGACGGTGCTCTTTGGGTTCCATTGGCTGCTACTAGGACGGAAAATGACAATTGGTTGGCAGTCAGACCCAGATTGCGCACACTGCTTACTATGGTTAGTATTCCTCATTGTTTTCGCTTTGCAAAAAGGACAATATCTACACATTTATAGCTGCTCTCGCCGCAATTTGTACATGCTATTGCCGACTGGATGACATCCAAATACGGCCTGATTCTAAAGGTTGGTGCTTTCGAGTCTGCAGAATATTGAACATTCACCAGACCACAATTGCTGACGTTTCGGCGGTTTCGCCTTCTTCAGAGCCTGGAAAGGTCAAATTGAGATGTGATCTACTCAGCCAAACACTTTCACAACCCTAGCAGATAAAACTTGACAATTCGATTTGCATTCGCACAAGAAACAGCATCATTCAAACACCTACCGTTTATTTGTTGTAAGTATTTAAGTTAGTTGGTGGATAGCCGCCGCACAGAGTAATACATGGTCGATAACTGGGTCCATGTCAGATCATTGGATCAGCCTGAGGTATGGCGCTAGGTCACGCGTGATGACAAGACACTCCTCCTTGCGGTTCATTTTTGAATTTTTGGCATTGATCCAAAAGGCTTCAAGAGTTTTACGCGCTGATGTTTTTGATTCCTGCGTAAGGATAGTGACTCCTACCTCAGAAACCGCCGAAACGTCAGCAATTGTGTTCTAATAAATTCTATATTAACAACCTCGTGTCTGCTTATTGATGAAAAACATTGAATTATCAATTAATGCCGAGGTTAACAGAAAGTCGGTCTTGGGAATTCACCAGACCGTCTTATTGTCTCTATAAAATTAGCCAAGAATACACTTGATCCGTTTAACCTGTCTCATGAAACACTCTTAGGCTGTGTTTAAATAGTGTCCACTCTATAGCCTTAGCAATTCAGTGTGCGTGTGCATGTGTATGTGTATAGGTATGTATCTGTGCATGTGTATAGTTGTATATATGCGTGTATATACCTTTTTAGCACACCTTTTTACCTTATATAGCTTTTCTATATCTTTTTTGTATACGACATTTCCCGATTCTCGTAGTAATAACAGTTTAGGAATTCCAGATAGATCTCGAATCTGGCAAGTTGCTGGAATCTTTTCACGATAGAACAGGTCACATTTCCGAAGTATCAGTGGCTGTGGAAGACGGTCGTGGAAATCTTCTGATAGGTAGCGACGTCCAGTGTTATATAGGCAGGATTAAATTGTGACTGCTTCAAGACATTTTTGTGGCTAGCGCACCAATATGCAACAGCCACACTTTATCTGTAGCGTATCTTTCATAGAATGTTGATATATTTATTTATTTGATCTTATAAACTGATCTTCTTAAGCTGACGCGAGGTTGGTACAGATCTTCGTTGTCGTTGTCGTTGTTTTTGATGTTATTGATCGATGGCTGACGTTTCGGCGACTTCGCCTTCCTCCGGAGCCTGGACGTACTTTATGTTAGAATACTTTTTATTATTCGGTGGAAAAGAAGGTTAAAGTATTAATGAAGATCAAACTTTCAAATAGACGCCATATTGAACAGAAAGGCCACTCACCGTGATGTTACGTGCGGGACTGGCCCACACGTAGTTCACGCGAGCAAGACACGCCCCGTTTTCAAAATATCATTTTGAAATAGGGCGCCAGGTCACGCGTGATGCCTCACTATCACATCACAGTGAGTGGCCTTTCTGTTCAATATGGCGTCTATTTGAAAGTTTGATCTTCATTAATACTTTAACCTTCTTTTCCACCGAATAATAAAAAGTATTCTAACATAAAGTACGTCCAGGCCCCTGAGGAAGGCGAAGTCGCCGAAACGTCAGCCATCGATCAATAACATCAAAAACAACGACAACGACAACGAAGATCTGTACCAACCTCGCGTCAGCTTAAGAAGATCAGTTTATAAGATCACATAAATAAATATATCAACTATCCATGCCGAGGTTTATAGAAAGTCGGTCTTTCGAGTTTCATAGAATGTATGCAAATTTCAAAGTGAAGGTTTTTAGCTTCGCTGTTATCGACTGTGTTTGCAGAAATTTACGTAGTTCATCTAATTTCGCAAACATTCGAATTGGTTTCAGTCTAAAGTATGCATTTATTGATGTTTATTAAAGGGCGCGTGCGGCGTAGCGATCGGAGGCGCCCTGCAACACACACGTGGAGTCGATCCTCGCGCCCATGTGCCCGTCCACCCTCCAGAGTGAATAAGTTGGCAACTAACCTGTCCGAGAGCATTGAAACATTGACTAGGTATCATAAAGCACAACTATATAGAAAATTATTGACCAGTTATATGCTGATTTGTGCTCCCCAGATCAATCCCTTTGAGTGGTGATTGCTGATACCACCTAAAGGTTAAAACACAGCTGGCAGAAGGGTGAAACGAAGAACTTGCATGGTGTTGCGGTGAATACATCAGTCCCCGGGACCAACACCTGTGGACAATCAATAGACTCGGACGATCTCGGATTTGAAGAGAACAAAGGCGTCGAAATTAGAAATCGAAATCAAACAACCGAATCACTCGACCTGAATATAAATTCCTCCAGTGATGAAGTGTGTATCAGAAATATTAAAGAATAGCTATGATCGCCTCGGCGCACCAAACGCACTGCTGCACACCTTTCTGTTTGATCGCGCGCCCTGGCTATGTCCTAATCCATCTGGGGTCAGTAAATTGTCACCACATTTGCTTGAGGCTATAAAAAACGTTTAGTTGGTACTTTGACAGGATCCAACAAATCAGTTTATCGGCTAAGTATGAACTAATTCATCTTTACAATACTTAGTATATAACGACCGACAGAAAAGTCCATATGGTTAATATGTACAATGGCACTCATTTGCAAGTCGCCGCTTATAGACGGTACGCCTCGTCCACCATCTAGGCAGACTGCCATCCATCCATCATAAACAATTCAAGTTTTTCAGCAGTAGGCAACAATTCCTTTCTTCATAGCTTGGGTATACGTGCAGAAAGCGAGGTGAAGCGCAGTGGTTAGTGATGCCACCGATCAGAAAGCAAAGGCGCTAGTTCGACTCCCTTCTCAACGCTGCCCTCCATCCACGTGGTAACACCATAGTCCGACATCTCCAAGAATTCAAGGAGAATCGACTCGATTGGCAATATGCGACATTCGTAAAGTAGACGAAATCCTCAAGCACCAATGGAAACAACACGCAACGTGTTTAAAGATCATTGTGAAAGGTGAATGCGAAGAAAATGAATCGAATGCGAGAAGTGCTGGGATCCCCACAATAAATGTGATGATGGGCCATGTAAATGAAAAGTGAGGTATAACTTTAATGGTGCTGAGATATTTGCAAAAGCCGGGACTGCAGTTGTCTGCGGTGGGGAACGAACACGCTATTGTTCTTTCCCGGGAGTAACGCCTTCACCACCACACCATGTGGGTCCTTGGTTTCCTGTCTTTTAGCCAATTCTATTAATCTTTTGCCATCAGCAATCATCCGTCAGCGAGATTGATCTGGGGAGCCCAAATCGGCAACGAACCCAGTTAAGAACTCAGATCAATAGAACTAGATGAGAGACAGACGAAACGAAGGACCCGCATGGTGCGGTGGTGAATGCGGTTACTCCCCGGAAGCGGAGTTTTGCAAATATCTCAGCATCATTGAAGTTATATTTTGCAATATATACCCTGCGTTAAAAAAGAGCAGGCAGTAAATAATAAGTTAGAAATGTGAAGTGTTATACGTTACTTTGCCCTCCATTCAACTACACAGCTGTCGCCGTGTGGAATTGTTTCGTACGCCGAGTCAGTTTCACTATTTCTATGTCTGCCCAGTCCAAGCAGTTACTATGGTTCACAACATCAATTGTGAATGAAGTATAAATCAGTTACTTGGTCACGAGGTGAATTTTGAGTGGCTCACGTAATGCACGATGCTATTTGTCGACAAATACTGATAATTTTTCGATAACTGGAGTAATTGAAAAATTGTGAATTAAAAAAACCTATCTAAGAATATTTTTCCTATCGCTCTAAGGTTATACGTTATACGATTCGCATGATGTTTCGGTCCAGAACTCGGCCATCGATTTGAGTTAATCTTACTGGTCAGAAACTGAAATTCATAGACTTCAGTCGTTGCAGTAGGTGAAGAATAGAATACCGATCGACTCCTCATTCAAAGTGGCAATAAAGAACATGGATAAGAGAAAAACAGTAAGGAAAACCTTCTATTCCTGTCGGAGAATGTGAAGGTGAATCGGTGAAAGACGACGGAAAGTTGGTGAAGTCAACGGTGGATGGGCTGATAATCTATTGCCTTACAACCATTAGATCTTCGATGAAAATTAATTTGGGCATTTTCACGGATTATCCGTACCCGATATTTGAGATTTGCCTGTGGGCAAAACGAACAGATAACGACTTCAGATGAATTTGTTGTGAGGAGCGACAAGTGTCGACAAAATGATAAGGTTTATTGCTATCTCAAGCGAGAGATTATCGGAGCTCTAATATTAGTCTTACATGCAATCCTAGCGCTGTAGGGAGAATATTTCTCTTGAGATGTTCCCTATATTTCGTTTTACCATAAGTTCCGTAAACATTATGTATTTCTCTTGGCAGTTACTCCTGTAATGTAATCCATTTCAAATTACTTGATACAAGAAAGCGTACTTGCCCCACATTCATACCTGCCCATAATGATCGAACAAGGTAGCATCGCCTGATAGCTCGACCGTGGGACCTCCAGCTCACTCAGGCGTAAGTGGCGTTACGCCATTCTCTTAGATGGTGGTCGCACAGTCTACATCACCCTCCCCCTATCTCATGAAATAGACTTTAATTTTTTCTGAGCTATATATTCCTATACACGGCATTTACATCAATTCACTGCTTCTTTGATGAGCAAACGCGAGGTTTTTGTTACGGCATATGTTCTTTCACAATAGCCGGCGTTTCGGCGGTTTCGCATGCATCTGAGCCTTGAAAGATCGGATTGACCAGCAGTCTACTCAGCTAAACACTTCCATAACCTCGGCGGGTGAAAATTAGTGCATAGACTCCCATTCGTATAATAAACAACTTTTTTTTAAACAATCGCGATGTCTTACTTTAAAGCGAAAGCTGAGGTTAAAGGAAGATTGATTTTTAAGTATTATTGCACCCAAAGCTAGCTGATAACGATGTCGACTGACGCAGGATGTCCTGTACGGATAAAAACAAGTTGTTATCAAAAAACAGTAACTATCAACAACAACCTATATAATGTCCTATATAATGGAAGCATTGCCGAATGAGAACACTTCACTCGAGCGGCGCTCCACTGGATTCGAATCGGTGCGATCACGCAAACCCACATCGGAAGAAGAAATATGTATGGTCAATCGACTCAGGTCATTCCGGCTCTGAAGAAAGTAAGGACGCCAAGACATTGGCCGAATAAAGCTTTTTAATCTACAGCGTGTCAGCTTATCGATGAAAGAATACCGTTTTGTTCTCTGTAAGCGCCGTAGTTATTTGGTTGAGACCAGCCACACAGGGTCCCATATGACTGAGAGATGTGCTTGGGTCGGATCAAAAAATCAGCTTGAGGTATGGCACGAGGTTATGCATGATCATAAGGCACTCCTTGGGTTCATTTTTATATTTCTTAATTTTATCCAAAATCCCTTAAGAGCTTTGTTCGTTGGTGCCTTCGATCCCCTGCGAAGATAAGGACTTCTACTTCAAAATCTTATCCGTTATGTTTCTGTTTCCTATTGGTCCATAGCGGAGTGTTTTCATCTAAGTTTAACTTTGCCCATAAGGTGTTCATTTATAGGACGCATAATGGTCTACCCGTTTCGCCGATGTATTCGTCCCCACACGCTGTACAAGGGATCAAGTAAACCATACTCGAACTCCGAATCACCGTCTCTACCGCTGGGGCATATTGTCCAAGTTTATGCTGTGTATAGGCGGTCATACAGACGGTAACAATAGCCGGCGTCTTAGATGCTCGGTGGAACTTCGATCATTGCTGCCGAATTCTCTAGACCGGTGGACCCTTTTAAACAACATCTTTCAGCCATATTTATTTCGTTGGAAATACAGAACAACAAAAACGGAGCTCTATTCTCACCGAATTCTCGCTAGAGTTATCGTTTGGCATTGTAGCTTTTCCTTTACAGTTATTCCGAGGAGCTACAGTTTCGTGCCTAGATGTTCCTGGATCGTTAACGTGATGGAGTCCTTCG